TTCACCGCGCTTATCTGCCGTGGCAATGACAGCGCTCACGCTTGCAGCTACTACTACTGCTAGAATGGCGGCCGTGACGTCGTCCATGGCACAAATGTGCTGAGGGCAGAACACCTGCTTGAGAAGTTCCCAGAACAAGTGGTTCATCACGTCAATTTCTTAAGTGGTACATTGTACCGTTTAATTTTCAGCCAATAGAATCCCAGGCTATATTCCTTTTCAGAACGCGTTCTCCACTTGAACAAGGGTCTAAATCGCGATTCGTACTTAGATTCGTAAGTATCATTTTATTTTGGGCGGTCTCGGCACATTTAGGGGGAGGTCGGCGTACAAAAAGAGCTTTATAAAAGAGCATTGCAGCGGATCTAGGTCGAGGTAAAATACCTGTTTATTTAATGTCAAAATCGGTATGTACCGGTAAATTGAGCTCACATTCAACGATTCGCGATGGAAGGAGGACACGGTGCTCATGGAGGCAATCCCCCCTCTCCAGAAGAAGACTTTGCGGCTGACCCTCTTGGCAAGGCTCTTACTGAGAAGGCACCTCGCTTGGTGTGGACTGATTCTCGTCTGCGTACTCTCCTCCACCTCCTTTGATTGCGTACGGTGATCAATTTAACAAACACAAGAGCAGAGCGCAACTGACTGTACTGTGGAGCCGTGTGGCTCGTCGTTTTAACAAGCAGCATGAAACCAAGGCCGTTGTAGATCAGCTACGTAACAAATTCAATGCTATGAAGGCGTGGTTCGGCCAGATCCGCGCCGACGAGGCTACTACGGGAAACTTGGAAAACGCGGTAAAGTATCCGAGCTACTGGTCAGTGCTCGTCGAGTTTTTTGCTAATAAAAAGGGCTGCGTAACCAAGCATATCTTACAACCCTTGTATCACCTCCGCTATCTCGTCGTCCGTAAACGGTAATCGAATAGTCTCTGACGAAAACGATGTCACCACATGAACAACTTGGCGAATAAAAAGTAGTGCTTGCGTTTTGCCAGCGCCAACAATATGTCCAGCCGCGTATGCACTGCCGCCGTGAGTGACATAATAAAAGGCCACCGCCACTCGATCTCTAATAGGAAAATGTGCGTTATGGCGAGGGGCTGGGCGTACGCTCGGCCATCTCTGCTCGATACGAGATACAATAGCCAGGAGAGTTGCACGATTGCACCGAAAATTCACTGGAAACGAGCCGTCTGCAAATATGGGGTCATCTAGAACTCGCTGCCATGTTGTGTTCCGTACGGAGAAGCGTCTGGCAGAATTGAATGTTAAATCGACAAGGGCAATCTGCGACCGGGCGATGTGTCATCTTCCTTCTTGACATATGATTTTAATTCTAGACCAATCATATCTGTGGATTTGGCGCGCCTTTCCCCCGAAAATGACAGTGTTCTGAGAGGGCATTTTTAAACGACTGTAGCTCCAAAACGGCTGGGAATTGGCACAAAATCGAAAGCTAAAACGCATGATTGCACCCTATATCTAAATGTCGATATAGGTTTTCCTAAATGTAGACCACTTATGCCTCTCCCCAATGTTCAATGTCGCCTACAATACGCCATTCCCTCTCGCGATGGACGTTGCAGCGACCGGAGCGCCGCGTTTGCAGCGCGCGCTCACCAAGGTGCGTGCTGAGAGCGGTATGGATGACATTGCAGAGATGATAGCTGGCGAGAACGAGGTGTTCAGCTTAGGGGACGACGCGAGTGGCGAGAACGAGGTGTTCAGCTTAGGGGACGACGCGAGTGACGAGAACCAGAGCGAGCAAATAGCTGCGAGATGTGCGAGCTCAGGAAACGAGAAGAACCCCATCCGACTGCTGGACGTGGCGTCCCTGTCTGTAGAAGGCTCTCAAGGCCACGCCAATGAGGACCGATGTGTGGTTGCAAGCAATGAGCGGTTCCACTTGTTTGCAGTCGTGGACGGCCATGGCGGCTCGTGGGCCGGCGATTACCTGGTCGAGGAGCTGTTCAAGACACTGGACGAAGTGTACGACGACGGTTTTGACCATGCTAAGCTCGCCGAAGCGATGGAGGAGCTGGACCGCAAGTTTTGCGCTATGGCCATGAGGAAAACGGACATGAGTGGCGCGTGTCTGCTGGCCGTATTGCTGTATATTGACCCGAACACCGACACCGCGCAGAAGATCGTGCTCAATATCGGCGACTGTCGCGCTATCATTCAGGAATCACCGGAGCCTTCAAAGAAAGCGAAGGGGAAAGCGCCATCGTCTACGGGTAAGACGTTGGCACTGTCAGACGATCATTGCGCAGCCAATGTGAAGGAGAGAATGCGAGCGCTAAACAGTGGAGCTTACATCCAGAACAAGCGTATTGCAGGCGTATTGGAACCCTTTCGGACCATCGGTGATATCGACTTGAAGGGCCCCAATATGAAGAACTGGGTCATCGCTACGCCTGAGATCCGACAAAGTGAGCTGCTCATTGGTCGCAGCATTTTGGTCATAGCTACAGACGGCGTCTGGACAGTGCTCAATAACAACCGCACTATGGCACACGCAGTCAAGGAGCTTGGCGCTAGACAGTCCGCTGAATCCGCTGCCCACGCCATCGTCAAGGAGGCTCGGGAGTTCGGTAGCTGCGACGACGTCACGGTTATTGTCGTCTCGGTGTAAAGACCAGCAAAGAAATTAACTGTCTTGCAAACGAAGTTACCTGCTTCTTCCTACACTTCCTACTGTTCTACGCTCCCACGACAGCCTTCCAGGCTCCATCAAACTCCATTCCCTCATTTAACTTGCTTTGCACTGCGTCCGTCACTTCCTCCCCGTACAGACACTTGAGGATCTCGAGGTTTGGTGTCTCAGTGCGCGAGCGGTACGCCTTGTGCATGAGCGGCGTGTAGTTGGGGATACGCTCGAGCTTGAGTAGGTCCTCTCGGGTAGGCATGATGTACGCTTGGCAAGTGACCGTCTGATGCTTGAGTTCCCCCTCCACGATGTTCACGGGAATCTCTTCGCGCAGATAGAACTTGTCCTTGACAGCCTCCAAAATATCCAGTGCTGCTAGTGCATCAGCATCCACGCGGTATATTTCTCCAGGTACTTGGTAACCCTCAGCGTGTGCGCGGTACAGACACGGCACAGAGCGATCCGGGTTGAGCACAAGGTGGAACTCAGCACAGGCCGTCAGGCCCGTTCCTACGAACTCAGCCTTGCCTG